ATGGACACTACAGGAGATGTGAAAACATCTGCTGGGTCCAGGCCTGCTCCTTTCAGTACAGTTACTCCCCTTGCTAATAATTGTCTGTGTTCTGTCATCTAGAAAGGGACTTTGTGTGCCTCCCAGGTATTCTAATGCTAATTTGTTTAGTTAAAAAGGAGAAGAGGCTAAACAGATGTGAACCATTTGGTTAGGTTGTAGTTCATTTGTTAGGAAGTGCAAAGGATTCTTGGCAGGATATTAAATATTACCTTGGCTGCTCACAAACACTTCATATTTCAAGAGAGGAAGGGAGGTAGGGACTGCACTCCATAAATCAGCCTTTTCAAAGAGACAGAAAAAGGCAAACATTTGATAAATCTGTGTCATTATACTTAGAGATCAAAGGGGGGTTTACATATGTATTTATGCAACTGGCAACCTAGGAGACAATAATAACAAACATAGATCTCTGACAGCTTTACAAAAATAAAAATTAGCCGGTTCTAATCTGTAATTATCTGGGAACTGTGCGAGGTAGGAGGTTGCTCACAGAGGAGCTTTAAGTCGCTGATGCTGAGACAGTGAGCAAATGTTAAGTCATTCGAAAATACATTAGGAAGTTCTGTGGGCAAGAGGTTGCCAAAGCCACTGGGTGGTAGCAGGGCATGGCCACTGCATCTGCAGCCCTGGTTTCATCCACAGAGCCCAAATTAGGCAGGTAGGAGTCACCAGAGCCAGCAGTCATCAGCGTTTCCCTCTGGCCTTGATGAAAATCATTCCTTTGTGACAAAAATGTATAATGATGGAAATACATAATGATTCCTTTGTGATTTTCCAGCAGATGATTTAGGAGGAATCTACCTGAAGGATCCCTGAAAGCAGGATGATTTCCATCCCTGGGCTCTCTCCTGGGTTACAGCTCTGGCACTGTTGGCCTGGGGGAGCCCTGACGCTGTTCCCAGGGGTTGGCCCATTCTGCACAGCTCAGTAAATAGAGAACTGGATCCAGAGGCTCAGGTAAGTCAGGGAAGAAGCCTGAAAAGGTCCCAGAAAAGGTTTGCAAGCAGCAGGAATAAGAGGAAGGATAGCAGGGGCTGCAGTGGGTATTGCTTTAATCCAGGACAGAATGCAGCAGAGGAGTTGAAACTTCTCCAGAAGCAGCAAGAGCCTTCACATCACCCAGAACACAAAGAGAAATCCAGTTGCGTTAAAATAATTCCATGGACAAAGCAGTGCAGCCACAGAAATTAGAGAAGGAGAAGTAGCATTATGTCATCTCTCCTTTCCTTCTGGCCAGTCACCGGCCTGATTTCCTATTCTCTTGTGCTGGTTTAAAATGACTTCAGCAACTTGGTTTCTGCTTGTTCCCATGGGAAACTTCCACAGTCTATAGATTTCACTGGTAGGAAACTCTTCTTGACAGTCAGACTATATTTTCCTTTACTCAATTCCATCACATCACTCCTACTTACGCCTCCTCGGAGCACCCTAAACGCTCTTCTCCATTGAAGTCGGGGCAGTTATGTGAGCAGTAAATTTGGCCCGTGGCACTTGGAGAAATAGATATTAAAACCCCAGGGACGAATTAGGGAGCGAGGGGAGGGAGGGCAGTGGGGGAAAGGAAATGGTTTCAGGTTGAGAGAAACAAGATCTCCTCTTACATCTGTACAGCGGTGCTGCCCTGGGCCCCGCAGGGAGCACGCCTGGGACGCAGCAGCAGGAGACAGTGATGTCCCTGGGGTGTCCCTGGGGTGTCCCTGGGTGCTGGTGGGGGTACAGAGCCTCTTGAGGGCTCTGGGGCAGTCTGTGGCACTTGGGCTTGGGTGCAAAGGGGTTGCGTAAAGCCCTGGGCACCTTCCTTGCCCATGGCTGAGTTGTTTCGAGTCCCAGTGATGGTACCCACAGTCACCCCAGGGCCTGTGGGTGTTGGTGAGGTGAGCCCACAGACCTGACCCTCCCTCGCTGGGGATTTGATCATAGAATCACTGAATGGTTTGGGTTGGAAGGGACCTCAAAGCTCATCTCATTCCGCCCCCTACCATGGGCAGGGACACCTTCCACAGTCACAGGTTGCTCCAAGTCTCATCCAACCTGGCCTTGGACACTTGCAGGGATGGGGCAACCACAGCTTCTCTGTGCAAACATCATCTCTGAAGTTGTTCTGGGTTCTCTGCTTTCTGCCCTGATTGTACAAGTGTGTTTTGCAGAGCTGGGCACCCTCCAGGCCCATCTCAGCAGTGCTCCACTAAGTGTCACCACGACCCCTTGTCAGGAGCTGCACTTTCCCAGTGCTGTCTGTGTGATCAATCAATCAATCAGTCAATCATCAAGCAATGGGATCTGGAGACTCTACTGATGCAGCTCAATTAGTTATTGATTAACCAGCCAACCAGCAGGACAGCCACTCTTATGATTGCAGGGCACAGAGCAAACCCAGCTGTGCATTTCTGTTTGTTCCCCTTCTCTTCTAACCCTGTTTCTTATGAGGTTTAGGCTCTGTGCCCCCATCAGTGGGGCACAGCACACGTTCTCCTGCCACAGCTGCTGAGTGTGGGGTGTTAAATGAATTCCAGGAGCCAACAGCAGGTTCTGGGCCTGGTTGGATCCCTGCTCTCAGCGTGGCAGCAGGTCCAGAGGAGACCTGTGCCCTGCCCAGCAGCCTGTGGGCTTCAGCTGGAGGCAGTGGGTCAGTCTGGAGGATGGAACCACAACTGGTTCCCAACCCACCTGTCAAAACCTCCCTCACCCACACTCCCCCCACTCCAGGGCAAGCTCAGCCCTCCTCCTGACCTGCCTTTCCTTGGATGCTGTTTCTGATCACTTACTTGCCATTCCTGGGGAAAAAACTCCTGACTTTCAACTGTTGAAGATACAATTACAGTAAAACCTATCTTGGGGCTATTTTTCTTAAAAAGCCAATCCAACTTTTACAAGCTACAGCTGACATATATTAAAGGCTTAAACCAAACTTTCTGTGACATTTTGTTGATGTTACCCTGGCTGGTGCTGGTGGATGTAAGGAGCAGGGAAAATCATTCCATCTGAAGGGTTTCCCTCTTAGCTCATGGGTGCAGGAATGTGCAGTGGAGCAACCTGTGCGTGGAAGCCGCAGGTTTTGCATTTGGAATTGCACAAAACACGGAGCGCAGAGGTGAGGAAACCTGGGGGTAGGAGAGGCAGCCCGTGTCACCCGTGGAAGGCTTGCTGCCCACAGCTGTGATTCATGCACTGCCTGGAACTGTCCTCTCTAATTCCCTTCACAATTACCCGTCTGGGCCAGCTGGCACAGCTCTGCCAGCACACACACAGGGAAGCTGGGAAGCAATTCCTCCTGCCACTGCACTTCAGCTCTGCTTGGTTGGGATCACCCTTCACACCACAGAGAGCCCAGCAGCGCTGTCTGTTTTCTCTCATAGTTGAGAGATTCTTGGGAATTGTTTGCTGTTGACTCTGCAACTGAAGTACAAAAGTTCTGCTTGTGCCATCCCGAAATCTGCTTCACAAATACCTGGTCCTGGGAAGGACAGGGGCCACTGACACCAGAACTGGTGGCCCGAGCTCTGTGTTAACCCACTGAGCAGCTTTTAGAGAAGTCATACACTTCTCAGGGTCTTACTTACCTTATTTCTTTTATTTCCCCTCAATGTGCCTGTTTTAATTAATTTATAAACTTCAGTTTGTAGTTTGGAATTATTTTACAAGATCACCGAGCCAGTGCGATGGAAACAATCCCCTTTTGCACAACAATTCAGGAATTGATGTAAAGCTGATATATGAAGAAATCAGCATCATGCTATCCCTTCTGACACACAAAATCAAGGCCCTTCATGGGGATAAAAATTTACCTCTTGTTTGGAGGAGGAGTTAAAAATAAAATAAAGAGATGCCAGCAAAACCTGGTTCTGCCCTCAAAGCAAAACTGTTCTGAAAGCAGCAAATTCTGTACAAAAATTTATGGTAGTAAAACTGCACACACACACTTCGGAGAGATAGGTTACACTGATTGCTGGGTGAGTGCTGACTAAGGCACTTCCATGGAATCTTGGAGAACTGTGGAATGATCTGATCCTGGAAAGGAGAATCCCAGAGCTGATGGTGTTGTGGGAAGGGTCTCATCAGCCAGATGTTCTTAGTTTGGCTTTCAAAGGCTGTTGTCCTGGGTTTGATCTCCACATGTTACTCCTGATGAAGGGACCGTGGCAGATCTCACCAGGAATTTCAGAAAATACACCAGGACAGAATGTGCCTCCTTGAAAAAGCACCTCATCAAAAGAGTGGGTAAAACACCGAATCACAGAATGATTTGGGTTGGATGGGGCATCTAAATGCCATCAATTCCAACCCCTTGCCGTGGGCAGGGACACCTTCAGCTAAACCAGGCTACTCCATGCCCTTTCCAACCTGGCTCTGAAAACTTCCAGGGCATCCACAGCTTTTCTGGGCAATGTTCTGGCACCCTCGTCGTAAAAAAAATGTCTTCCTAATATCTATTCTGCTCTCTGTCACTTTAAAAATATTATTCCTTGTCCCTGTCAAGAAGTTTTTCCTCACCTTCCTCATAACCCCCTCTTAGGTGCTGAAAGACGGCAGTAAGGTCTCCGCGCCAACCTTATTATCCCAGTATAATGGAATAAGGAGGAAGGAAAAATGACTGAGATGCGGCCAACACCGTGACGCCCCAACTGGCGACTCCCTGCAGCCGTGGGGGGACAGGGAACGGGGAATGTACAGCACACAGCCCTCGGCGGGATTCACCCCGTGCGGACCCGGTGGCAACTCCGGGACGGCGGCGGGCGACCAAACCGCCCCGACGGCGCGATCCCTCCCCGCGTCACCGACCAATGAGTTCATCCCTCCTCCTGCTTCTCCCCTCCCCGTCTCATTATGCAGCAGAGTGTGGCTGTGATAGGCTGCGGGCTCCGCCCGTCCCCGTTGCCATGTCCCGCCCCGCCGCTGCCTTTGCTGCGCTGCCGGCGGCGGGAGCGGCGCTGGGCGGGCGGCAGCGCCGGGCACACGGCGAGACAGCGATGGGGCCGTGCTGAGCCCCCGCGGGTGCCCATGAGGCGCCGGGCAGAGCCGAGCCGAGCCGGGCGGGCTCCAGCCATGCATCCCGGCGCGCCCGCGGGCACATGGGGCAGCGCCTGAATCGCTGCCTCGATGTCCCCGTCGCGCTGCCGCCGCTGAGGCGGAGGTTGCTGCTGCTCTTCATCATGCTCTTCCTCTGGCTCTACATGTTCTACTCGTGCGCCGGCTCCTGCGCCGGGCTGGCTGCCCGCGGCTCTCCCGCGCCGCCCCGCGCCGCCCCGCCGGGGGAGCCGGGCGAGGAGAGCAGCCTGGAGGAGCAGCGGGCAGCGCCCGACGCCGCCAGCCCCATCTCCAGCTTCTTCAACGGCTCCGGCACCAAGCGGCTGCCGCAGGCCATCATCATCGGCGTCAAGAAAGGGGGGACGCGGGCGCTGCTGGAGTTCCTGCGGGTGCACCCCGACGTGCGCGCCGTGGGCGCAGAGCCCCACTTCTTCGACCGCAACTACGAGCGGGGACTCGCCTGGTACAGGTACGGGACGGGGGTGCGGGGGGTCCCCCTGTCCCGCCCCGGTGCGGGGGTGCGGGCTCCGGAGCAGCTCGGGGGGCGCCCGCAGGGCCGAGTCCGCTCAATGCCCTCACGCTCCCCCCACCCAGAAAAAAAAGGACCTCTAAAAAATATAATCAACCCAGATCGCAACTTGCGCTCCCCGTTAGCCCAGGCGGCGGCGGGCTTGACGCGAGCCAAATCGTGTTTAATCCTTATATGAAGGTTAAATATCAATTTAATATTCTTGAACGCTCTTATTCCGCTGTGCTTCCAGGGCTTTTGCTGGAGCGGTTATTTTTCCTCCAGCTCGGGGTGTTGCTGAGGGATGAGTGGTGTGTCCCCGGGCCGGCACGGGCTGGCGGGCGACCGCAGATTTGGGGGGGGGGGGGGGTTTACCCGTTTGGGGTTTTTTTACCCGTTGGGGTGGAGGTTGACCTGTTCGAGTTTTTTTGGGTTTTTGTTGTTTTGGGTTTTTTTTACCAATTTGGAGGGCACTGACACGTTTGGGGATTTTTTTTTTTTTTTAAGGCGTTTGGAGGGTTTTTGAGCCGTCCCGGGAGCGCAGCGGCAGCCGGGACTGGCAGGAGGCAGCTCCGCGTTCCAGATAAAACTTCCTCGCTCTCTCCCCGCGCTCCGTCCCCGTTAACTTTCTCCTACCCCGCAATCATCTCTGGATCGATGGCCCCGGGTCGCGATCGCCCGCGGGGCTGCGGGAGCGCTGCGGGTGTGTCGGGGGGGAATGGGCGCGTCGGGCTGAACCCTTTGGACGGAGAGAAAAAAAATTATAAATTCCTGGCTTGCATCCTGCAAGGATGGATGTCACTCCGAGTGATTTCTCGAGCGGCAGCCCCGTGCGGGGTGTCCGTGTGCGGGTGGGCTCGGCGGAGCGGGAGGCGGTGGGTGCGCAGGGGAAGCGCTGTCGGACACTGAGCGCGGGGCGAGCCGCGTTTCGGTGTCTTTTCATCCCTTTTCCGACTGAAGTTCCCTTATCAGGAATATTTTGAATATGTCTTTCTGCCGAGTATTTACAGGAATGCTAAAGGAGCAGAGATGGAAACTTTGAAGCCAGATGGGAGCTGTGAAGTTGCGAGTTGTAACCTCTTTGTAGTCTTGAAACTCCCACCCGGCAAGTCCGATTAGGTTTATGTCTCTTTTTAAAACGTTGCCGTCCCTCAGCAGTTAGTGAAATGAGTGCAGGATAAGATCTGGCGAGGAGGAAGTCATTTTAGAAAGCTGTTTCGTTTTAGGAAATTCTGTCAGTTTGGTGGAGGATGCAGCGTGTCGTCCCACAGCGGCCCAGATGAAACCTTTATAAAGCCAGTTGGGTTTAAAAAAGTATCAATCTCGCGTTTTGAAGGAGAACTTGCATATAACAGACCAGAGGACCTGTCAGAATTTATTAGCAAAATGGTGTTGTACGTGTTGAACTCTGTTTTTAATTAGGCACCTAAATTAGACCATAAAATGGTTGATTAATTTTTTACAAGAAAGAGGTGGAAGGGGAGAAGGAGAGAATAATGCTTATGATCACGTTCGTCTGTTATCCCAGATGTGGTGGGCAAAAGTCAATATTTAAAGGATAAACATTATTGTTAAATTTGGAGAACAGGTATCAAAGTTGTGTTTAACTTCCTAAAGTTTCCTCTTACCAGCTGCTGAATTTTTAGCAGAGTGGGCCCTATCCCTGCAAACACAGTGCAGTTTCTCAGTAGTATTTTTGCTGTTTTAGCTGAAATACAACAAATCTCGAGGTCTGAATGATGACGTTCCCAAGCAGTCAGTGCAAGTGATGCTGGAAGTCTTGAAATCACCCGAGTATGATTCACCCCGAGGATGGGAGCGTGCCTGGCTGTCTGGGGGACGGGGACCAGGGTCGATTGGGGGGGCTAAATAATGCAAAATACATGGGGGAGGATGAAAACAACAGAGGAGTTGTTATATGCTGTGCATTATTTCTGACTTAATTAGAATTAGATGCAGAAGTTTGTTCCTATAAATTTTGGCATTTAGAAATCCGTTCCTGTGTAGTAGTAACTCCAAACTCCCACTGACTTCAGTGAATCTGGGCTTCTCAGCCCCCCCTCAAGAACATGCTTATTTCTCTCAGCTCTAATGAGGCTTTTATTTATTATCTTAATGTCAATAAAGAGATGTGTTTGTATTTTCTTGCTGATGGCCCAATGAAATTGCATTAAAGATGCTATAAAAGTTCAGTGGTGCCAGTGTCACACAGTGAGCTGGGCAAGCCTCCCCTCTGTTTTTCAGATCGACTTTGCACAGATCGACTGAACTTTGGAACTGGGGGTGTTACTCTGTCCTCGGCACCCTGTGTGTTCAGTGTGAATCCAATTGCCTGCCTTTGAAATCATAAAAATGCCAATTTTTGACCCCCCTCTCATTAAAAGTGTATTTTAGTCAGCTGGCTAGATTTGGTCATATCTGTTAGGAGTTTTTGTTTGTTTGTTTGAGTTGTTTCCGCCATCCAAAATCTGCTTTTTCAGATTCTCAAGATGCAGAAGGCAGCACAGATTTCCTTATTTAGCTTGATGAATTCTCATTTTTTGGGAGTATTTGTAATTAATTGTCTTTGGGTTAACTACTGATCTCTGTCGCAAGTTTCCGTCTATGGAAAATAACTGTTGAAGGCGGGAACTCAAACTTTTTCCTTGCTCCATTTTCTGTCAAGTGAAATGAGATCTGTTGGTTTGTTTCCTTTGTGTGGAAGGCAAAACAGCATCAAGTGGTGCTGACCACCATTCCTGAAAAGCAGAGGGAAAAGAGGGGAAAAATTACACTTTTTTTTTTTTGATAGTGAGATAACTAAAATTTAGTGGAAATAACTTTGGTCCGCACGCTGCGGGGTTTGCACCCAGTCGTGTTTTAACTGCCTCCAGTGAAAATATGTACCATGACAGAGGAGAAATGGGATCCAACCACTATTGCAAATGAATTTTAAGTAGTGCCTGGAATTTTTGGGTAGTAGAGGGGTTCCCTCTTTGGAGCAGTGAGGAATTCTGAGCTGTGTGTCCAACTGCCCGGCCGAGCAGCCCGTGGGGACGGCGTTGTTCTCCTTTGGGTTTACTGTAGGTCTTGGTGGGGGAAGAAAAGATGTTTCTTGCAAGCCTAGAAAAACAATTGTTGAACTTCTTTTATGATTTTCTTTAATTGATTCGGCAGTGATGCACTTTGAAATGTCCTTGGGACTTGAAAGTCTGTTGTCCTGTAATTAACATAAGAAAAAGAGATCGTGTCACTAGTGTTACATGTTTGGGGTTTTTTCTTTTTTTATTATTATTTTCAGCCCAGTGGGCTGTAATACTCAGTCCCTCCTGCCTCAGGCTGGGCGTTCCCAGCCCTGGTCACCATCACTGATTTATATTTCTGTAGCTCTCTGCTGGAACCCCTGTGCCGTGCCTGTGCCGGCTGTAACCACGACACCACGGCTAGACCGAGCTCCTCTGTCTCTAGCAGTGCAGCAGGGAGACCTCTTTTCCTTTTCCCTTATTTTTTTTTTTTTTCCCCCTATGGAAAATTCTTACAGTGCTGGTGCTTTGTCTTCCTGCTATTGCTAAGTTGCCTCAGTTCATTCTCCTTACCAAGAGTGTGTGGTTTGGGTCAGCAGCATCAGGCCCCGTGGGCTGGTGGTGTGTGATTAAACTGCTTCAAACGTGCCTTTCTCAGACTTCCAGGTCACCTAAATGAGACGGGCAAAGAGCTGCTTCACAGCATCTCCCGAATCAGGAGAAACTTCCCCATTTATTTTATTTTTCCCCAGGAGCCTCCCTTTTTTCCCCAAGGAGAGCGTGAGGGTGTGAGCTGCTGCTCGCAACGGGCCAGGCTGGGAGCAAGGGAAGAGTCAGGAGATGATGGTTAAAACTGGGGGTGAAAGCCTTGCTGCGCTAAATCTTGAGCAAGGCTGGGGTTGGCCCTTGTGTTTGGTCATTCTCTATAAGCTCAACTTTAGGGAGGGTTTAATCCCTGCTGCTTAATTGCCACTACCATTTCGCTTCCTGGCAGGACACGAACCCGGAGCGCGGGCACAGCCGGGTGCTTGCAAAACTCAACGTGTTGGTTTCCGCTGAGCATCACAAGCTTAGCTGGCCCCAGGAAGTTTGGGAACAGCCCTGTTTCTCCCAGCTGGACTTTGGGTGAAATGACAGCATCTGAGCAAAGACCAGTTCCTCCAGAGCGTTACCGTGAGCTGCGCTGGGCTGGAACGAGTGTGTCCTAAAGGACAGTCGGGATGGTTGTGCCGAGAAACTTTGCCATTGAGATTTTGTTTTCTTGATGTGGGAAAAAAAAAACAACTTAAATATCAACTCTTGGCCTTGCAGTTGTGTTGAGCATAAGCGAGTGGGGACTTATAGTGGTCCCCTCCAAACCTACATGGGGCTCTGTGCCCCCTTGGCCGTTGCAGCGGCTCCCCACCACGCGTCTCAACCGCCGGGCGACGTCGGGAAGAAAATGGCCCCAAAAAAGAAGGGTTGGGCTGCTATAATCAGTCAGCAAGGCCCTTGTGTTTGCATGGGATCATTCCTTTAGATCTGAGGAGGGTTGAGTTGTTCAAACAGATGGCAAAGATTATTCGTGTTGCTGGGGTTTCAGTGCACTGCTCTGTTTCAAGCATGTTGCCCGATATGACGCACGTGACAAGTTCTTCCCAGCACGACGCTGGGGCGGGGGGGGACGACATTGTCTGCCCTGCTCGGGTTTCACGGCCTCACCTGTCGAGCTGCTGAACTTTTCAAAGTTGCCCAAGCGTTGGGGGTGCCGGATGCGGGTGGTGGATCTGCCTGGCTAATCGTGTTAGCCCGGCCCTGCCGGGGGAGCGCTGTGCTCCTTGGCATGAAAACCATGGGAATGAAAACCCACGGGCTCAGCTCTGGGTTTGGGGATTTATGATTTCTTTTTTTTTTTTTTTTTTTTTCTTTTCAAGTGGGCCATGGCAGATGTCTGTAACACACACCAAGCTTTGGATATCT